TTAAAAACCAATAGGGTGGTCAAAAGTTTTCAAATGACCCTACGTTCTGTGACTGTACTTTACGAAGCATTAGTGGGACTGCCTAAATCATTAACGTTAACAACAGGTAAAAAACTCTGTTTTCTCTACTAATGAAACAAAAGTGATCCAAAACAGCAATTAACTCAGAATAGTACTGATGTTTGACTTTGTGGCACATTATATACATAAGCAGGAAGTAGCACTTAGAAACTAAGAGCCTGGGTGGGCCCTAAGGAGCCCTGGTGACACAGTGGTTAAAGCGCTCAGCTGCTAACTGAAAGGTTGGCGGTTTGAACTGCTCCATGGGAGAAAGATGCAGCAGTCTGCTTCCGTGAAGATTTCAGCCTTGGAAACCCCATGGAGTAGTTCCACACCATCCTATCTGGTGGCTATGAGTCGGAATCAATTTGACGACAATGGTTTTTGGTTTAGGGTGGGCCCTGGAGTCAGACAAGTCTGACCCTGGCTCCACTTCAGGCTTGGGTAGGTCACCTAATATCTTAAACTGAGCTACAGAAGTTAAGCTTCCACACCTGTAAAATGGAGAGAACAACAATATTTACCTTATAGAGCTGTTGTAAGGATAAATTAAAAGTGGTACCTTGTGAACTGCAGAGCATGCTGTAAGTGAGCAGCATTTTTTTATGCATTACTTAGGCAAAAGGCTAAAATTAGTTTGTGTTCCCTGAGTCAGGTAAGGCACAGGTACAGAGTTTAGGAAGAGATGGCCCACAGAAATCAGCCTGGGATATTTTTTTTTTTCCTTGATTCTGTTTTAATTATTTATTTTCTTTTTTATTGCTGTTGTTGAGAATGTACACAGCAGAACAAACACCAATTCAAAAACTTCTACATGTACAATTCAGTGACACTGATCACATTCTTCAAGTTGTGCAACCATCCTCACCCTCCTTTTCCAAATTGTTCCTCCCTCATTAACATAAACTCACTGCTCCCTAAGTTTCCTATTGAATCTTTCAGGTTGCCGTTGTCAATTTGATCCCATATAGATAGATCTTAAAAGAGCACAATGCTCAAGGCAGACATTCTTTACTAATTAAGCTAAACTATTGTTTGGTTTAAAGAAGACTTTAGGGAATATTTTTGGCTTAAGTTTTAAGATTATTTAAAGGCAATAGTTTCAGGGGTTCATCCAGCCTCCATGGCTCCATAAAGTCTGATTCCATGAGAATTTGAAATTCTGTTCCACATTTTTCCCCTTTGATCAGGATTCTTCTGTAGAATCTTTGAGCAAAATGTTCAGTAATGGTAGCTAGGCACCATCAGCCTGGGATTGTTTTGCCAAGAGAAGTCCACATGCATATAATCCTGATCTTTCTAATAATCAGTAGATGCTCTTGGATATACTAACTCTGAGAAGGACTTATGCTATTAGCATCTCTCATTTTTCAGAATCCTAATACCTAGACCTCAGCGTCTACATTTCTATTCCTTGATCCTCACAAATGAGGTCAGAAATCAAGGCTATTTGACACAAGATGGAGAAGCAAGGTTAGTTAACTAGGTTGAGGTTGTAGGTAGGGCGAGATATTTCTTACGTGGCCAGATGAGAAAACAGTAACAAGGGTTTTCTGTTGGGAGGGGATTATCAAGAGAGTTTAAGGGAGACACTCAGAATGTAGATTTGATTTAATGTCCTAATTAAACTGGTCTGGAAAACAAGAGTCAGGGAGATGAAGCAACTTGTATAACAGATGCAGAACGTGGCACAGTGAAACTGTGTTCCAGGTCTTCTCCCTCAGGTCTAGCTGAGGTCTAGCTCACAGACACACGTATTGCCGCGATTCACTGGCAAGTCAGTGGGGAGGTGCATATACCTGACCTTTGGAAACAGGGTCGCTTTTATCAGGGAAATGACTTCTCCCTGGATTTTAATGTGTGTGGTAACAGTCTCTGATTCACTTGCTCATCCGTCCATCCATTCATCGAACATGCATTTACTGAGAGCCTAGTATGCACCAGCCATTGTGGTACCTGCTAAGGTATAACACTGGAGTTCTGTAAATATCATGGATCGTGTTGACAATATATAATCCAGTGCTTACCACACAATAAAACGACCAGCTAAATTAAAGACTAGAGTTAAATTCTGAAGTTTGTATAATTTGTGGGTACAGCATGTGTAGGGGGCAAGCACATGCATAATGCTTAAGTTGATAAGCAATCCAGAGGCTCGGAGCATGGAGCCGGAGCTCTGCACGGCACACCTCCACCACTGCTATTTATTTAATGAACACTCTTGGGCACTCTTTACACTGAAAGATGGTTCATTAGATTTGTGCAGCTGCCTTTCTCAGCAATCTGCTGTGTTTCTGATGAAGGCAGGAAAAAACATGAACATACCATTTTGGGGCATGTTATGAGTAACTCAGCTTTCAGTGATTAAAGAGCCCAGGCTGCCTAATTTCAGGAAAAACAGTTTGTCTGAATCCTTTTCCTTCCACTCCTATCTCGTTCAATACTCACTCGTCTTGAAAATTTCAAGTATTAGCTATCTTTAAAACCAATCACGTAATACATTATATGCATGCTATAAAAATGAGCGTATTTTAAAGATATCAAAAAAAATAAGTCCCTTCAAAACTTGCTCTAAAATCACCTCCTTCCTGAGGCTTTCTCTTTTCACCTCAAATTAATCACCACCTCCTCTGGGCTCCCACTGTACTTTATACTTCTATTCACTGTGACCTGCCCTATGGGCTGGGTAGCTGTAGTGTACTTTCAGATATACACTCTTTGAAGACCAAGAAAACATCTTTTTATCTCAGTCTTTGACCCTCTCTCAGTACCACCTATTACTTGGAAAATGCTAACAAACGTATTAAACAAATAGATCAAAGGTAGGTTTCCCTACCACCACCTGTCTGTCTGTTTATTGTACTATGATTGCTTTCACGTTGCTATGATGCTGGAAGCTATGCCACCGGTATCTCAAATACCAGCAGTGTCACCCATGGTAGACAGGTTTCAGTGGAGCTTCCAGACTAAGACAGACTAGGAAGAAAGGCCTGGCAATCTACTTACAAAAATTAGCCAATGAAAATCTTATGGACCACAACAGAATATTGTCCAATATAGTGCTGGAAGATGAGCACCCTAAGATGCAAGGCACTCAAAATACCCAGGGGCCATAACAATGGACTCAAGCATACCAGTGATTGTGAAGATGGCACAGGACTGGGCAACATTTCTTTCTGTTGTACGTGTGGTTGTTATTTTTACGCAAATAATGCGCACCTTCTACCTTTGTTTGCCAGCCGCGCCCTCCCCGCTGCCCTGAGGTATTTTCATAAGCACGCTACACAAAATTAGCATAGCACACTTACCAAAGTGTCTGGGGGGTGGGTGTGGCTGGCAAATAAATATAGAAGGTGTGTGTTATTTGCATAAAAACACAGTCTACACATAAAATAGACATATAAATATTATTCTAATATACTTACAGTTATTGTTTTTGTTGGCTGCCATCAAGTTGGCCCTGACTTTTGGTGACCCCATGCACAATGAAACGAAACACTGCCGAGTCCTACGCCATACCCATGATCAGTTGGGGATTGAACTATTGCGATCCACAGGGTTTTCACTGGCTAACTTTTTTGAACGTAGATTGCCAGGCCTTTCTTCCTAGTCTTAGTTTGGAAGCTCTGCTGAAACCTGTTGAGCATCCCAGCAACACGCAAACCTCCACTGACACACAGGTGGTGGCTGCACTTGAGGTGCACTGGCTGGGAATCGAACCTGGGTCTCCAGCATGAAAGGTGAGAATTCTACCACTGAATCACCACTGCCCCTCTTACAGTTATTATTAGTCATTTAAAACCCTTTCAACATCCAATTATTTTCTGCTTTGAATTTTTTGCTGATACCATGTGTCTTAATTAATGGAAGAATGCTGAATCACTGAGTGTGTCTGAAGTTTTGGTTGGTAGTATGGGTTCTTTTTCTTGCCCCCTCCCACAATCCTACCCTCAGAGTAGAGTGGTACAGACTCGTACCTCTAATTCTACCCCCAGAGTCCAGAGGTACATATGTTCACCACTTAAAGAATTTTTTCAAAATCCATATTTTACCTAAAAACAAAATACTGATTCACCACACCTCCTACAATACCCTGTAAAAACAGTAATTTGCAGCACATGTCCGTTTGTTCAGCTTTGAACAGTCACAAAGGCCCCCACCTTGTGGCAGCATGCACTATCAGTGAGAAAGCAGCTTCCCAGTAAACCACAGAGGCTGAAAAAGTAAGTGGTCACTACTATATCTACCACGGGTAACGAAAGAGTTAAAATGTAAAAACTCAGAGTTTCCACAGGTTCTGTCACTCCAAAAGAAGAGAGAGGCACAGGCCTCATCTCTGAGAAACGCTGCAGCAAAACTCCCCACTTCCTTGCTATCAGACAAGCAGAAGACAACTGTGACAACACGCTGCACTCACTGATGCTGCCTCACTTCAACGTTGCCATGACAAAGAAAACCACAAGGAAAATCCCTAAGCAGACTCCACGGTGTCAGATTCTCTAACAGCCCCTCTCTGTGCATACTCAAGCTTCAAAGGACGGGTACTTTTAAGTCCGAGTTTCTCGTGTTTCACGTGGAATAAACAACCAATAACCAGCTGGCTTTTGAGAACCTAACATCTGCCAGACCCTGTCAGGGTTCAGTGCTGCTCGACATCGGTTTTCTTTTGTCCTGTGGGCACATGAGAAAACACCCACACAAGAAGCCTATGAGGCTGCGGTGAGAGCTCTTCATTGATACACAGGAGATGTGACTAACATGGGGTCCTTTTTCATCTTCTGGCTTTATAGGGAGCATTTACCATAAAGGGTAGCAGCAAAGGTGAGTACAGCTTATTCTCCTGGGAAGCATCCATGGTGCGACTGGAGAAACCTGAGTGCTCCACGCAGAGCCCACAGCGGCCGACTGTTGGTGAAGGGGCATCTGATCAGTAGACCTACCAATAAGGTGAAGCTGTGTTCTGGCAGCATCCCATACTGTTCAACGAGCTTCTCTCGGGTCACACTGGGGAGCTCAGGGAGCCTCTCCCGGATGTAGTCGATATTGATCACTTGTTGCAAGTCGGCCCCAGAAGGCAGGGATGCGGAGTCGTAGAGCACGAGGGGAGGCAGGTTGGGCTCCGGCATAAACCTAGGTAGAGAGGAGACGGGGGCCTGAGTCTGAAGTGCTGGGTTTAGTGAGAAAAACAAGGTCTGTCATTAATACGGATGGTTCTGTGTTTAGACACCAGCTTACCTACAAATATTTCTCATGTCCTATAATATCAGTTCTCTTGTTTCCCAGCAACTAGTCTTTATGTCAGTGTAACCTGCAGGTCAAAACCACCAAACCTGCCTCTCTGTGTGTTTACGAAGAGTGAAACGAGCATACCACAGAGCTGAAGCCACACTATGATTTATAATGGTGGATTGTTGTGGTGGTTGTTATTGCTAATTGCTGTCGAGGCAATTCAAACTCATGGTAAACCCACGTGTGTGGCGTGGAACTGCTCTATAGGTTTTTTAAGGCTATGACCTTTCAGAAGCAGACTGCCAGGCCTGTCTTCCAAGGCGCCTCTGAGTGGGTTCAAACCATCAACCTTTCGGCTAGTAGTCAAGCACTTAACCCATCCGCACCACCCAGGGACTCCCAATCATGGATAAAGCATATGTTTATAAATAAAAAGGCTGGAAAAAATAGGACTAAATGAGAATAATCTAGTTATTAGAAAGAAAGATGATTTTCTCCAACATATGATTTCCAAAATTTTATAGCAGTATTTGAGTAATAAATGAAAAGTCGAAGAAAAAAACCCAAACTGTCTTTCATGAGAGGTGAAGAAATGAACAGATCTGCCTAAATAAAATGTAGAAGCTGCACCACTGCATATAACCTTATTCTGAAATACCAACGTCCCTCCTCTCTTCTACTCTAGCACTGACGTTTTCTCTGTCCATACTTGTGAAAGGGCTTATGGAAAGCAGGTTAATGCAGAACAAATGGTAATGTAACAGATTAGAAGAGTAAGCAGCCCATCACCTCAATGCCAACTCTGTGCTAGGAATCAGTCTGACTTTGAAGACAGGAGGAGTTCGGAGGGTGGCTTCCTGAAGCCCACTGTCTACCAACCTGAGGGACTGCGCTGAAGCCACTGGCTAAGTGCCCAGAAAGACAGCAGCCTAAATAGAGCAGGGAGCAACACTAAAGAACGAAGAGAGTTCTTGGGAAGAACAGATGTAACCTCGAAGATCATAGTAATTAAAATAATCTCCATTTTTACAGAATCTATGATAGGAGGAGTCCTTGAGGTGGGGTTCACACTAAGGGTCTATGAGCCTCTTCTTTCTGATATAATGATGCTACGTTTGTTCCTCACTGACAGCAATAGCTGCACTTAGATCTCCCCACACTTCACAAAGGAAAAGTGTGCTCACCTCAACAATTCTTTGCTTAAGAATTCAATCTTTACAATCTGCTAAACTCAGTGGGGAAAAAATAAGAGCTTCAATTCATCTTAAACCTATTTTTATTGTTTATTTGTGGGCCTTATATTAAGTCCAACTTCTTTATCAATTAAATGGCATCACTTGAGGTTTGCAGGGAAAGGCCATAAACATCTTTTTTTTTTTTTCATTTCTTCCCAAGGAACTTCAGTGTATTACTGAATTTGCTACTGAATTTAAGAATTAGAACAGCCTAGGCCCCAACCTCAGCTACCATCCTCTTGGCTCAGTTATAACAACTCTGCCATGGAGGTGAATGAATAAGTCTGTTCCAACAGTTGAATCCAGTCAAACTGGGCACTCTGTGGCTACCTACTCAAGAAGATATTACTTCTCTCAGTATAAGCATAAAATAGGGAGTCTAGATTTTCCATCATACAACAACAGCAAAAAGTGGTTCCTAAAAACTATCCAGGATCATTGCATCAATCTTTAAATGGATGTGAAATATGCCCCAGCCCCCAAATATGTAATGGTAGTTTGAAAAGAGGAGCCACCACCTGTAGTCCTGTTTTCCTTCCTTGTCTCTCATTGGCATGGTGCACCTGCAACAGGGACACAGAAAACATCACGTCAACAGCGCATGGGCATTCACTGGCTGGCGCGTCTGCAGAGAACGGGTCTCCCTGACCAAAAAGGGACACAGGCAAATCCAAGCTCTTCTGACTTCTATGAGGGACACTTATATGAGTAAGTTAAAAATAATAATAATAAAGAGAAATGTTTAATATAATTAAAAAAAAAAAGAAATTGCTGCAATGTTTCCAGCTTTCAATCAGCTCAAACTCTAGGCCTTTGAAAATTTTCCGTCTGCTGCTAAAAGTATAAAACCCTCAAAATTCAGAGTCAGAAAATTAGTGTCAATGTCGCTGAAAGAAAAAAGGCATCTCTACAACCAGGTCTTAAGTCTCCTCTTCCTCTAGCTTAAGCTGATAGAAGTCTGATAGATGATTTAGGAAACAGAAATTCTTGCAGCAAAGCAGGCAAGCTGGAAGCAAAGAAGGGGCCGGGATCTAAGACTAAGCACTCATGTATAAGTTCTGGTTCTGTTTAAACCTTTTAACATCACTACAGGGTATACTGGAGCCCTGGTGGCACAGTGGTTAAGAGCTCGGCTGCTAACCAAAAGGTCAGCAGTTTGAATCCACGCTGCTCCTTGGAAACCCTACAGGACAGTTCTACTCTGTCTTATAGGGTCACTATGAGTCAGAATCGACTTGACAGCAATGGGTTTGGGTGCATAAGGCATTTTATGACCCTATAGGTTACCATATTTTTCTAGTATTACTAATGGGACACTGAGGCACAGAGAAGCTGGGTACCTTTTCCGAGGTCCCAGGCTGGTATGAGGCTGAGCTCAGCCTGGAGCCCAGGCCTCTCCTGCCCCATTCAAGATGCTTTTCTCCAAACTTACCCCAGCCTGGAATCAAACGAGCGGGTTTCATTCAGAATTTCACCTCCATTCTCAAGTTCATTGATTTGCCTCTGAATTTCATAGTCTAAGAAAAACACAGTAATTTAGTATCATATTTTGAAATTTCGATTATACCTCTCATCCAGTCAAGCAATAATTAGAAACCTTTTTTATTTAATCTTTAAGTTAAAAAAATAATCAAGAAGAAGATGTTTATATAATAATTCTTCCCATATGTGTCATATCCTCTTCTTGCCGTCATCAAAGAATAATGGTGCTGGAAAAGCCCATAGGAATGCTACCAGTCCTGCTTTCTCATTTTTTTGAGAAACTCCGGTTCAGAGGGATTAAGCAACTCAGTACAGGTGATACAACTTGGCAGAAGCAGGGCTGGACAATATCTAGTTCTACCGACTCTAGTTCTAGGATTGCTGCCTCTCCAGGTCCTTACCCTGGGGTCCATGCATGGCCTTCAAGAGGTTTTGGGACCCGCTGAAATTATATACAAAATGTGGGTAGGGGCATATGTATGTTTTTTGGAGAGAGGGTCCCGAATTTTCAAAGGGATCTGTGACCCAAAATGATTAAGAACAACTGCTCCATGCCAGTTCCCTCTGCCATCAAACAGCGTAGGCTGTGGTGATTAAAACCTAACCACAATCACTAAGCTTCTTTATGAAAACAGCTTTAGCCTCTCCATCAACTCCCCAACCCACCACGCACCACCTCCTCTTGCTCAAATCCAAACCTTTTGATCTGAGCTGCTCAGAAGTAGCAACAACAGCGTGTCAGTTTTCTCCCCCTATTCCCCCAATCCAATGCTCCCTCTTTGACTGGCATGAGGTGCTGCCTAAAAGGTCAGCTCTACGGAGAAAAATGCGTGGGAAAATTACAGGCTTGGAGAGTTAGGCTCATAATAGCAAAGCTCATAATAGTCAGACCAGAGGGCCAGCAAGTCCAGAATTCTGTCTTAGGTTGCTGCTCCAAAGGGTAGTTCACAGGACAACAGAAGGTTAAGGACTGCCAAAACATGCCAGGGGTCTCCTTCATAACTCACACGGATAAATCTATCTAAAATCTTGTTTGTTTGTGTTTAGGTTACCACTTCTACCTCTTAGAGTAATGAGTCCCATAACACTCACTATCTACAAGGTAGAACTTTCTGCCATTTGTTCCAAGCTTCCCCTTCACAAAGTTGGGCTATAAGGGTTTGCCCTGGCCCAAACATTTCACGGCTTTAGAAACATGGATCATGTTTCCTTGTAGAGACAGAAGAATAACCCTCTTTAGTTTGTCTTCATATGGAAAACTGCCCTCGCCATAAGTCATCCCATTGACCATTTTAATACTATTTTCCTGAAAATTTGTAGGCGCATATTGTCTTCACTGAGGCTAGTTGATCATTTCAGGTTCAGAGGAATCATGGTTTTATATAATAATAATAGAATAATCTTTTCTGTATTGTTTCTAATACTTTTTGTGACAAGGCCCAGGACTCTAATTAATATTTTGGAATACAGCAACACATTCAGTGTCTTGTTTTCTGTGCACACTTGAAGGGGTGCTCTTTAAGCCCCACCCTTCCCTAGATTTCTCTCTTCCTCTCTAGATATCTTTGGTTTTATAAAATATTTTTAGTCCTCTGAGATGTCCTCTCTCAGATTCAGTCAGCAACCTCCATGGGACTGCTCCAGATGTTTATACCGCTCAACTGTTCTATGTTAATTACTGTATGTTCATCGTCACCAAAATACCCACAGCATGTGATCCAGCAAGATTAATACTTGATTACACAAGCATATACAGTCTATTAGCAGAAATAATAAAAAGCAGAAAAAAACCTATTGACCAGTTAGCTCAAACTATGGCCAATCCATGATGAACAAACATGACTGTGTGAGTTCAGGCCAGTCAGGAGGGATGGGGTAAATGGAAAACCATGACCACAATATTTTGCAGATCCTCCCACAAACAGATGGAGTCTATCTTCTCTCCTTCTGAATCAGCTTTGAATTCAAGTTGCTTCGATTCAATCTACTGTGAACAGAATGTGTTGGAAGTGACACTGTGTGAGTTCCAGAGCTTAGGCCTCAAGAGGTCTTGAGGCTTCTGCCTTCATCCTCTTCCTCCACCAAGTAGGAAAGCCCAGGCTAGACAAGTGAATGAAGGAAGGGCATGTGGACGGAGAAGCCTAGCAGCCAGCCGGCACGAAGGCCCTGGACGTGTGAGTGAGGCCACCTGAGACCTTCAGTTTCAGCTGAGTTGCCGCCAACTGCAGCCACCTGAGTGAGCCCAGGTGAGGGGCAAGACCAGCAGAATCACCCAACACACAAAACTGTGAAGACTAAAATGGTTATTATTATAAGCCACTAAGTTTTGGGGTGGTTTATTACACAGTAATAGATAACAGATACAAAGAGGTACATCAGGTGTTAACAGCTGACATTCACCTATTGCTTTGGCCAAGAACCTGGCGCTGTTGAGATTCTTCACTTCAGTTCGAACGCCGAAGGGCTCCCCAGGGTGATGCACAGATATATTGGCGTCCACTCTCAACTGGCCCTCTGGAAGGAGAAAAATCTCTTTAAGGAGGAAATTCTTTGAGGCGACATGGTCTTTTGAAGCAGGGAGACTGTCAAGGTAAGCAATATCTAACTCTACCTGCAGTTAGTTACAGCAGCCTAACTTTAGAGAAGACGTGGCTGGTCCTGAGGTGCTTCTGTCCACTTGGGTCACGGTACTCAGGCACGTGAGGTGCGTGTGTGTACGTGTGTGTGTGTATATATATGCACCTGGGCACACGCCAAAGAGAGGAGAAATTCTGGATATACCAGCTGCATGATTTAGCTTCTTTTCTGCTAAATACAAACAACACTGTAAAAATAGAGATTTACTCTGCAATTTTATTCTGAAGTTTTTTCGAAGTGCCGGAGCTGGGCTGGGGGAACCCTCAGAGATGACTACTCGATAGCCCTACACTGCTCTCCAGCAAAATGTGGATTTCTAACAGTGATTCCGGGGGATTTATAAGAGAGTCCTTGAGAATTTACAGCTTAAGGGCAAGAGCCAGACCTGGGCTTTTCCCCTCCTCCCTCCTCCAGGTACTGTAATTATCTCTCTTTCTTTTTTTAAATAATATTTTATTGTGTTTTAGGTGAAAGTTTACACAGCAACTTCAGCTGCCTTTTAACAATTTTTATACAAATTGTTCGGTGGCATTGGTTACAATTTTTACAATGTGTCAGCATTCTCATTATTTCCATTCTGTTTGTTCTGTTTCCATTGATCTAGCTTCCCTTGCCATCCTTGCCATCTCATCTTTGTTTTTGGGTTAATGTTGACCGTTTGGGCTCATATAGTTAATTGTTTAAGGGAACACATTGCTCACAGGTGATGTTGTTTATTTTATAAGCCAATCTATTACTTGGCTGAAAGGTCACCTGCAGAAATAGCTTCAATTCTAAGTTCAAAGAGTATTGTAGGGCGCTAGTGTTGGGGCTTACTCTAGTCTCTATCGATGCAGTAGGTCTGGCCGTTTTTAGGAATTTGAGCTTTGTTCTACATTTTTGTAATACTCTCCTCCCTCCACAAACATTCTTCTGACTCCATCCAACTGCTGTAAGGATGTGACGCAGCCCAAGGACATGCTGTGTGTGGACTCAGGGCCGTCCCTGTCCCCGGAGGACCTTCTCTGCCTCTAAAAGCCCCTTCAGATCAGGAACCTCTAAGAAAGCAGGTGATGTGTGGTGAGAACTAAGAGACTGTTGAGGAAGAGAAGAGAAGGAGGTAAAAATCCCAAGACAAGCAGAGAGACAGAGATGAGAAAGCATCACATTGTGCACCTTCCAAAGGAAAGCTCAAATCCTCTTATTAGCCAATTCCATTTATAATACCTAAAACAAAGCAGAATGAGAAGACAAAATGCTGGTTTTTATTTTCCTGGTTAGGTTTTGAAATTGAAAAAGTAATCTGCCAAACATGAGTGTTCTGATGGGCTGAATAAAGAAATTCATCTTGCAAGATCCCACAGCAGAATATACCAAAAAAAAAAAAAAAAAAAAGGCAAAAATAAATTCCCTGCCAAGAAAAGGAGACCCGTGAAACCGGTTTCTGTCATTCCTCCCAGTGCCGGGTTGTGGGGTTCGCTCTTCCCCAGGCTCGAGGCGGCTGGCTGGCTGCTGCTGGCCCTCGTCTGTCCTCACCTCCTCAGAACATGGGGGCGAGCTCACCCACTCGACAGCTCCAACTGCAACCATTTGACAGCCAAGAAGGCTCCTTTCAGCTCAAAACTATTCACACTGTATCTCTAGCTCTGACTTCTCAATGTTTTCACAAAATCACATAACCCCTTCTTTTTAACCACCTTCTGGACAACTTGTGCTTGTCTGAGTCTCAAGAAGCGCCAGCCACTCTGACACGATCAGCACAAGCCATCTTCAGTTTCTTCGTTTTCCTTGTCCTTTAGATCCAAACGGACAACTAAATTCTACCGATTCTTCCTTCCAAATATCCCTCATATCTCTCACTTCCTCTCCAAGACTACCACCCTCACCCAAGGCCTTAGAACTCTAGGCCTTGATTATGGAATTGCATCCTGACAGGTAACACAGTGATGCCTCTTTGTCCAGTCACCCACAGTGTAGCTACTCCTTTCATCCTGCTACAATATGGTTTTCATCATTCCAGTTGCTTACTCGAGAGCATACAGCTCCCATTGGGTCACTTCGTCTCCTCTGCTTGCTCTTCAAGAGTCCTCATCTGGTCCCAGTGGACATGACCTACATGTTTCTACTACTCCCTCCACGAGAAAGCTCACTCCAGTCAGAGGGCCTTTTTTCGTACAGCTCCCCTTCTACCCCACGGCTCCTGCACACTCTCCCATCAGTGTTACCGCTCTTCCTTTTCTTCAATCTCTGCTCATCCATCAAGGTCCTAGCTAGGTCTTACCACCCCCTCCTCCAAGAAACCCTCATCAGTAAGCTGGCTTCTCTCAACTATTAGAATATACATAATCTATACTAGAAAACTCAGCACATGATGATAGCCCCTCTTGAATGAATCTTACCTTTAAAGCCAGAATAGAAGGCTCCTGAGATTTTAAGTGCCCATCCCTCCTGCCTTCTCAAGGGCCTTCACTCTTTCCACTATCTCCTCTCTCCCACCTCAGCCACTAATCTGTCTTTCTCAGCGTGCCCTCTGATATATACGTATACAATAGTATTTCTCATTAAAAAAAACAAAAATCTAAGTCTACTCCTTTGAGCCCAATTCTCGCTCAATCTATCACTCAGCTACCGCTGCCTGCTTTCCTTTTCAGTAAACACCCTCAAACAAGTTTTGTTTGTGTGTGGCAAGTATGGTCTCCATTTTCTCACCCCCATTTACCTTAAACCCACTTCCGCTGGCTTCTGTCCCACCTCTCTGAAAATGCCCTCGTCGAAGTCCCCAACAGCCTCCCGGTGCCAAATCCAATGGACACGCTTTGTCGTCACCTTACTTGACACCTCAGCAGCATATGACATACCAACCAATCCTTCTTTCTTGAAATATTTTCCTCTCTCAGCTTCTCTGACCTTTGCTCTCTTGATCTGCCTCCTACCTCCCTGGACACTCTATTTCCATTTCATTTCTTTCCTATCCAAACTCAGGACCCTCTTTACTGACACGCTGTCTGTAGGGGCACAAGGCTTTAAATAACACCTATGTGCTGAAAGAAGTCACTGGGTAGTGCAAACGGTTAAAATGCCTGGCTGCTAACTGAAAGGTTAGAAGTTCAAGTCCAATTAGAGATACCTCAGAAGAAAGGTCTGAAAATCCACTTCTGAAAAATCAGCCACTGAAAACTCTATGGAGCACAGTTCTACTCTGACACACATGGGGTCGCCATGAGTCAGAGTCGACTGGTCGGTAACTGGTTTTGGGTTTACGTGCTGGTAACTCCCAAACTTCTCTCTTAGCCCAGACCTCCACTCTGCGCTCTATACTTACCTCCACTGTCTACTTGACACCTCTACTTGGAGGTGTCACAGGCATTTCAATTTCTAAAACGAAATTCTGATTTTCCCTCCACAAAGCTACTCTTGCTCTTGTCTTCCCTATTTCAGTAAATAGCACCGCCACCTAGCTCCTCAAACTTTCTTGAAGGTATCCTTGATTTCTTCCTGTCCTTTACCTTCCATATAGCCTATTAATCCATTCTGCCATTCCTATTTCTAAAAACCATCTTAAACCTACCCATCTCGATCTCTCCATCTTCACTGCCACCAGCCCCATCCAACACAGCCTCATCTTCCCTCTGAATTATTGCAAAAGCCTCTTAAAAGGCCTTCTTGCTTCTACTCTTACCCTCTGAAATTCACTCCCCACAGAGCAGCCAGAGTGGTTTTCTAAAACATCAATCAGACTACATCATTCCCCTGCTTAACAGCCCTTCAGTGACTTCCCACTGCACTTGGAATGCAATCCAAACTTTGTTCCGCTATCTGTAAGCTATCCCTCGCCTACCTTTTCAGCCTTATCTCATGCCTCCTTGCCCCCACTTGTTATGCTTTCCTCATAGTGGTTTCTACTACCTTCTCCAATACTCTAAGCCCTTCCTCATCTCAGGGCTTGTGCCTCAGCTCTTCCCTGGAATGCGCACCCCCTAGCTCTATGTTGGCTGAGGCCTTGAATCACTCTTTAGGCCTCAAATAAATGTTGTCTCCTCTGTGAGGTCTTAAAAAGTCACATATTCACCATCCAACATTACTGTGTATCATCTACCCTATTTATTTGCTTGATGCACTTATCACTATAATTATTTTTGTTAACGTATTTGTTTCCCTTGGAAATACAAGCTCCATGTGGCAGGAATGATGTCTTTTTCAGAACCTAGAGCTGGGTCTAAACCAAACAAATAAAACCAGTTGCCATCGAGTCAATTCCGACTCATAGCGACCCTATAGGACAGAGTAGAACTGCCCCATAGAGTTTCCAAGGAGTGCCTGGTGGATCTGAACTGTCGACCTTTTGGTTAGCAGCTATAGCAGTTAACCACTATGCCCCCAGGGTTTCCCTGGGCTGGGTCTAGCATATGGTAATTGTTCACTAAGTACCTTGTGGAATAAATGAATGCTAAAATTCTTGAATTTTTTTGAGCAATGAACAAACAGAATGGCCATCTCACAGTAGGTTCCCAATAAGCTCTAAATTTCTGTCCAAATAGGACTAATCTACAGTTGGAATCATCTGAAAGGCCCACTAAGCTTAAAGGAAATCTTCCAAAGTATGCTGCGTTCTGCTCAGCCAAATCCCAATACTTGGGAGACAATTTTATCTTTGACCTCAGGGAATCCTGAATTGGCCCTTACTTGCTTTTAAAAAACAAAACCATCTTTCAAAATTTAAAATTCTAATTTGGAATAGGAATAAGAGCATGAATTTTAGTCTCTTGCAGGGAAGACCATATTTCATAAACGTCTGAGAAGAATCATTTAGCATCCTGCAGTGCTGAAAGAGAGTTCACTAGCCTGGATTCAATACAGTATCAAACATTAACAAAAGGTATTCTATCTAGTGAAGACAAAATACCTTTTAAACAAATTAAGAAAAATTACCTGAAGTGCACAAAAGCCTCACCGATCAGCTCAATTTCTATCCTCTACAAGTAGAGATGTGTAACAGAAAAACCAAAAGACTATACTGCTGAGCACAGTGATATGGTGCCGTCACATATTTTTCTCAAAAACACATTCACACATCAGAAATACAACATCAGAATAGAAACCTATTTCTCTAAGCAGCAGGGTCCTGAGGATGGGGTGAGAAGGTCTGCTAAGCTACCACATTCTGATCACTGAATACTCGCCAGAACTTAAATAACAAGGTTTGACAAAAAATAATGTGACCTAATTTTATCAAATACATTTCACAATGCTTATTCATCCAAATAAGTGAGTTCTGTAAAATTAATACTACTTACTATTGTTAATTAGGTCCCTAGGTGGTGCAAACAGTTTGCGCTTGACTACTAACCTAAAGGATGGCAGTTTGAACCCACCCGTGCTGCAGAAGAAAGGCCTGGCAGTCTGCTTCCATAAAAGATTACAGCCAAAGAACACTACGGAACAGTTCTACTCTGTAACACACGGTATCTCCATGAGTCAGAATCTACTCAAAGACAAGGTTTGGTTTTACTTTATTGTAAATAAAAGCACCTAACATTTACTAAGCACAGCCTATTACTGGCAGGCCCTGGGTTAAGTTTTACATACGCTATCACATTCATTCCCTACAATGTACCTTAATGACAAAGCCATTTAGACATCCCTCAGGCACTTCAAACTCAACACATCCAAAATGGAATTCTGGATTTTCTCCCACAAAGCTGCTTCTCTCCCAATCTTCCCCATTTCAGGAAATGGCACCACCTTCCAGCTGCCTCAAATTTCTTCCAAGTCATCCTTGATTTCTCCCTTTCCGTTTCCATACACAATCCTTGGGGGGCTCAGCAACCAACAATAACATTTTATAAGTGTGGAAACTGAGGCTCAGGGAGATCAAATAACTTGCCCAGGTTCCTACAGCTAGAAGTGGTAGGCTAGGACTCCAACACAGGTCCACAGCTTCAGAGCCCTCAGTAGCCCTGCTACGTTACAGTGCTCCTCTCAGCTGCCACCTTCAGGTAGTCATGACACTGGCTGGGGCCACCACGAGGATGGAGCATGATGCAGCACTTAAGAAAGGGCTTCTAAAGTTAGACACCAGTTAACCAGTGGCTGTTGGATTGATTCCAACTTATGGAGATCCCACGTGTGTCAGAGGAGAACTGTGCTCCATAAGGTTTTCAATGGCTGATTTTTCAGGAGAAGATCACCAGGCTTTTCTTCTGAGGCACCTCTGGGTGGACTCGAACCTCCAACCTTTGGGATAGTAGCTGACCATCTTAACTGTCTGCACCACAGACACACCTGGGCTCAAATCTCAGCTCAGTCACTTCTTGTGAGCCTTGAGCAAATAACCAGACCTCTCTAAGCCTCAGTTTCCTCCCCTGTATAACAGGCACTATAATACTCATCTCTCAGGAAGGTTGTAAAAGTTTAAATGAGACAATAAATGAATTCTAACAAAAGCTTAGTGAACTGACTAGCACATAACAAATGTTCAAACCAGTAGATATTATTATCATTTGAAACATTTAGTATGTCTACTTCTGCACACATTCCAACTCAATAAACTACTTTGAGGATCTCCTCAACAGGGGCAAAGCTCCGTCCACCGAGAAGGAAGTGACTTTCAGAACTGGGCTGAGCTGGCCCATGCTCATTAGCAAAACTCTCAGGAACTCAGTGAATTGCAGCAAAGAGCAATTCAGGCTTCATTCGAAAAGCATACTGAGGGCCGCTGGTCCTCAGTGCCATGCTCTTGGGCAGCCCTCAGTTCCCAGACCATAGTCTCCAATGCCAACACAGTGGTCATATGGTGATGGTACAGAAGAATCAGCAAAGGGGTCGGGGCTGATAAAATGCTAACCAAGAATGCCCCAAGAATCCGGACTCCTGTGGACTTCGGGCCGCCCTTAACTCCCCATAGCATTTCAGAGCAACGCAGCCACTCTGCTGCTGGGCTCGGAGCAAAGCTGTTGGATCTGTACTTAAAGAAAACAAACGGCATCACAACAAATAAGATTTAATGAACCCTCTCAGCCGTCACCCACTGATGAGTTCTTGCGGTTACGGTTTATCTCTTGGCAAGTACCCAGATGGGACTATTTCTCAGCTAACAGGTGTCCTGTTTATTATTCCAGAGGTTTAGTAGGAATCACAGTCATTTTGAGGAAGAATGGAATAATAAAAACTTTTTTAAAGCAATAGAAAACACGTAAATGGATAACCATCCACCCTGCCCATATTTCACTTCTGTTCTATCAGCAAAAAAAGCAGCCTGAGTGATGACTGTGAAATAGAGTTCTCTTCCTCTGAAACAGAGCTCGTTTCTACAAAGCAAACGTGCCAGCAGCCAACCTTTATGCCATTCACACTCTTGTAGCTATGTTTGTCCAATCTTTAGTTTAGAGATGCGAGCAAAAAGGGAAGTTTTGTCTCCAAATTCAACATGTACCAGGGCTCTGATATTACAATTTGTTGCTTGTAATATGTCCTATGTGACAAATGTGGCATTATAGACTCAGATGTTCCTTTGTAACATGCAAATCCATATGTGTGACATAATGAGGTTGGCATGCAGTCTTCTGAACCAGCAGGAGACGACTCATCCTCATCAGTGTGCTGACTGGGCACCATGGGGACCTCACAAGATCCATCCACAGACAGTGCCCTGTGGTTGGCAGAAGTTTGTAAAATGCCCCCATGAACAGAAAATAGAGGAAAACCATGGGAGAGACCAGCCTTCAGGGGCCTACGGGAGGCAAAGTAGCCACAAACAGGGGCTGTGGCAGCAGAGCCATGAAGAAACCGAGTTTGACCAAAACTCATTTTTACGTTCAATTTGCAAACACTTAAAACTTGGTCCCAAGGGTACAAGTGTTTCCTTTGTTTTAATTCCCCACTATATTTATACTGAACTTCAGATTTTTATCTCAAAATTAAAGTTTGTAAAGTCATAGTCTTGGCTTAGTATCAGTATAATTTGGTTTCCAGTGCATGGCTGAAGATTCCACAAAAGAAGGAAAAGAAAGAGATCCAAAGGAAGCAACTTTGTTGTTGGCAGCTGTCATGTCAGCTCCCAACTCATGGTGACCCCATGCACAAAAGAATGCAACTGTGCCCAGCCCTGCGCTAGCCCCATGATCAGCTGCAGATTGGTCCACTGGGATCTACAGGGTTTTCACTGGCTGATTTTCAGAAGTAGATTTCCAGGCCTTTCTTCCTAGTCTGTCTCAGTCTGGAAGCTCTGCTGAAACCTGTCTAGCATCGTAACAACACGCAAGCCTCCACTGACAGACAGGTGGTGGCTGTGCTTGAGGTACACTGGCCGGGAATTGGACCTGGGTCTCCCACATAGAAGGTGAGAATTCTACCACTGAACCAGCAATGCCTCACTACTTACACAGAACTCACAAACTAAGAATCATTCCTGATAAACACAGTGCCTTCTTTTGGAGAAAGATTTAACTGTTCAAGCTCATTACTTCATCAGTCCTCACAACAGTCTGATGTAAGAATCCAGGAGGAAGTACCTAGTCCTTTGACTCCTAATCTCACCCTGTGGGGCTCAGGGCCTCTCCACTACTGTTGTTTGTTTGTATTGTTTCTGGTCTGGAGCTCAGAAAAGAATTCAAGGAAAAGTCTAAGAAAAAAAGCCAGGAGTGCAAAAGACTGAAAAAAGGATGTAAAGAACAACAATGTAGCTGATGGCAGAGAGCAAAACTCAAGTCAGAAGAGATCTGGGACAGAAAGGGAGAAGGTGAAGAACGAGGGGTGATGCGGCTGTGGCTCCTACCTGCCATATTTGCCTGGCTGGTCCCCAGGGCTTGAAGGATCAGCTGCAGCTCCCTGACAGCTGTTGCTGCCTCTTCTCCACAGGTCATGTCAGGCTCCATGACCACCTCCAGAAGTCCAACTCCTGCCGAAGGGAGCAGAGTCAACCCTAGTCTCCAGTGTGAGCAACTGACGTATCAGGCCGAAGCCTCAGAAAACCCTGTGTGACTCGGGGACTCTGAAAATGCTCCCAGCCTCAGAACTGTTTTCCTCTTTCCTCCTGCTTCCTGATTTCTGACTTTGGTTCATTTCTTTTAATGTCTGCTTAAGATACCAAGCCATTGGGTCCATGACTGGGTGGATACGTTTGTTTAATTTTAGGGGTAATTATTAGCAAGCCCAATGGTAAGGGCAGTTCAAGCCATGCTTTCTAATCAACTGTACCAACACTGGAAACCCTAGCAGCATAGTGGTTAAGAGCGCCGCTGCTAACCAAAAGGTCGGCAGTTCAATTCCACCAGCCACTCCCTGGAAACCCTATGGGGCAGTTCTACTCTGTCCTATAGGGTTGCTATGAGTAGGAATTGACTTGACAGCAATGGGTTTGGTTGGTTTTGGTATCAACACTAACACTAGTATTTTCATCTCCTCAGTTAGTTTCCTCAGTTGGTTTGGGAAAACTCTAGAGGGGAAGAGAGGTGCCATAAATGCGACAAGCAGGGTGGCTGAAGGAAAGGAAGTGAAGAAATGCCAAGCCTACCAGCCCTGTTCAAGTCAATGAGCGTCTGAGACCTCAGGTCATCGTGGAGGCTCTTGCCACTGTCTTGCTCCAGCTGGATCTGCTTGATCCTCACCGTCCTGGTGATGACCTGACTCCGCTTAGTCCCCACACGGACGCCGTACGTCAAGCTCCCGTTCATGGCAATCGGAAGCCGCTGCTGGGTAATCTGGTAGCCTGCCTGCACACAAGCACGGGTTACATGGTAACTAGTCCAGGCTGTTCACCTGAAATAACAGCTGGGGTCCAGTTTACTCTTCCTTTTAAGGTCACAAAACCATAAGCTCACTTAAAAAAGAAAAGAAAAATTAGTTTATGTTTTGCAGCTATCATTTAGCCTGTCCTCTGGCTTTTCCTATGCCTTGTTACCCTCCTGCACCTCCCTCCCACCCCCCAATAACTGGTAAACCATAGGGGTCCCATCTTCCTTACCCCAGTGCCATTTTCAGGAATAACAACAGTCTCATTGTTAGAAGCCTCTAAGAAAAGAATGTACTGTTTCCATTCAGCTCATTAGCCTAAGCTCTGCATCTGACTACTGGGCCCAAGAGGCCCTCCTTATTAGGAAGAGCTGGTGAAGCACCGTGCCTTCTTTTCTCCACACGGCAGACAGTAGTTGCTAGCGCGGTGAAACTTGCTTTGTTTCTGCTCTTTAAGCTAAGCCAACCCTACCAGCTGCCTCCCTGCCCTAACTTCCAGAGTTCCTCCAGCCAGTGAACGTGGTGGCACTCACACTTCAGCTAATGAAAGCCCACAGCACTGAAATGGCGACAGATGTTGCAATGACTCCCCCATCTCCTTCCAAATGGAAAGGAAGAATTATTTTCAAGTGCACACATGCATCAACACAGACTAAAGAGACGGAAGGTCAATAGGGAGAACGGTGGAAGAACAGAGAGAGGATAACTGCTAAAGTACCTACAGCACTTGGTAGGTCCCAGGCCCAGTTCTCAGTACTTTATGCTTACTTACTCCTCCTGACAACCCTATGCAGTGGGTACAAGGCACAGAGAGGTCAAGGGCGTTGTCCACAGCCAAAGAGCAAGGAAGTACCAATGTTAGGACTGGAACTCAGATGGTCTGGCTCCAGAGTCTGTGCTTTTACCACTAGACCAGTGGTTTCCAAACCTTAGCTGCATCAGAATCACCTGGCAGGCTTGTCAGAACAGAATGCTGGGCCCCCCTCCAAGGCTTTCTGATTCAGCAGGTCTGGGGTGGGGTCTGAGAATTTATATTTCCAACAAGTTCCCAGGACATGCTGATGTTAATGGATTGGCAAATTACACTTTGAGAGCCACTGCCCTGGGCTAACTCATCTCTGGAGAGGAAGTCTCAATTTGTAAAATTAAACTCTGGACAGGATTGCCAGATAGAATACACAACACCCAGTAACATCAATACTTGTACAACAAATATTCTTGCAGTGTAAGTATCTCTTGTGTGATACTTGGCAACCCTAACTCTGCATTATCTGAGCTACCTGGACCAGAAAAAACAGAAAGCCATAGATAATCGAAAGATTGCATTTTAGCCACATCTTGCTAAGTTTCCCACCCTAACCAAACTGGTTATCACTGTTCAAAGAGAAAAATTCTCTCCACCCTACCAAGCAATAAAATTTGCTAAGAGGCTTTTCCCTCTCAGAGGGGGAAAGAAGCAGCAATGGGAGAATTAAGGTCTTAGGTTTTTATTTACTTCTACTCGTGACTTCACCCACTAAAATCCAGCTCACCCCAACCTTCAGTTCAAGAATAAGCAACAGCATCACTACTGTTTTTTCCAGATCTGAAGACCAGCCACACTTGTTACCAGAGGCTCACAGCAAATGAAACACTATTTTGGGGAACCCCCCCTCAACGTTTCGGTTTTGTTCCAGTCCAATATCGTGAAAAATTGACTCTAGGTCACACTTGCTTCACTTAAAGAAATTAAAAAAAAAAAAAAAAAAGGTTTAATTTTAAGGAAAAAGCTGCTTAATATTGGGTTTATTGCTCAATTACTGTTGTTAGTCTAGGTTTCTGGTTTATGTCTCTGCTTACTATTGTCCACTTATTAGCTCCTCGTGAGATGACAGAAATGCCTCCCAAGGAGACAGTTCTATTGCTGGGGACTTCGACTTAAAAGACAGAGGCTCTTGCTATGTCTGCAGAGCTACAGTACGAGTGCATTTACCTCGGCATCAGCCACAGCACTTGCTTTTGTCCTAACAGGCAATTAGCACTGAATTAGCACTGAACACCACGGCTGGGCTGAGCCTGAGAATGCTGGCTTCTTCTACTCCCCATTCAATTATGAGACAGACACCAGAAGCATGAGGCTAAGCACAGAGTCAGCAATCAGGACAATTGCATCCAATCTAGTAAGCACTGGGGGGGGCACCTGCCTTCATCAGGGCTTGGCAGAACTTCCTGCTGAGATGGACAGAGCATTGACTGAAGGCAGGAGAGGCACAGCCGCCTTCCTGGTCTCAGACGCCCCAGGGCAGGGCCAGCCCAGCTAAGAGAACTTACAGAGGGCAGATCACACTGCATACTTACAGGGAGGTCGGCATAGAAGTAGTGCTTCCTGTCAAACAAGGACTTTTTGTTTATGCGGCAGTTCAGTGCCAGGCCTGTCATCACAGCTGCTTCTACACACCTCCTGTTGAGAACCTACAGAAACACAACACATGGCTCCTCTCAGATCCGAGGCCTGAACAAATCCTTCTCCCACACACTGACATCCTCGGTATATATTCAATGTGGCCCTTCAACGGGCATTATCTCTGGCTTTCTGCATGGGTAGCTCAAGTTTACAAGCCAACTGTTTGCTGGGGAATCAGGAAAACTTTATTTTTAAAAAAGAAAATGTATTCAGCAATGGCCCCACTGGGCACTTCATCAGGGTATCCTTGCCCCTATACCCAGTGTGGAAGTTAACAGGAAGAGTCCCAGAAAAGCCTGGTGCGGTGGTCACTACTTCTCAAGTCCCTCCTCAGGCCAGAGTACATGAAAAGACACTGGTTCCTGAGAGAGGAGGACCCAGGAAGCAGCTCACCAAACCCTAGTGAGATAGGAAGGGTAAGGCCCAGGTGGGACCCAAGAGGCTGACCGGGGTTGCTTCATCCTGATGGAAGAATGAACTTTGGGAAACTATAGGGCTGTCGCCATTTCCTCAGAGGCTGGGGAGTGTGGCACATCTGCCTCCTGGCTTTCACAGGCCTGGCCAACTCCCTAAAAGTGGAGCTCTTAGGGCGTGTCCTCCTGTCCTGAAGATCCCTGTGCTGCTGATCTCACCAGGGGCTCCTGGGGCTCAGGAGATCCTTCTGGATCCCACCCCGCCCTACTTTAAGGAGCTAATGACCAAGAAATGGCCAGTAAACTTCTCAGCCCCAAAGGAAGTGAACATGTTTTAAGAACTTTGGGGGTTTTGGAACCAGCTAGACAACTAGACATTTAATTCTTCAGGAAGGTTAAGAGCCCATGGTAGAATTAAAGGGTTCCTGAGTCAGTGGTTGGAGTCCTGTTGGCATAGTGGTTAAGAGCTCGGCTGCTAAATGAAAGGTCAGCAGTTTGAATCCACCAGGTGCTCCTTGGAAACCCTATGGGACAGTTCTACTCTGTCCTATAGGATTGCTATGAGTTGGAATTGACTTGACGGCAATGGGTTTAGACAACTAAAGATAACGTGGTATAGGAGAAAGAACGTAAGTTCTGGAGTCAGACAGGTCCAAATCTCACTTCTGCTCTGTGTAGCTGTGTGACTAGGAGCCTCAATTCCCTTATCTCTGAAATAGGCTTTAATATCTAACTTGCACTGGCGGTTCAGTGGTAGAACTCTTGCCTTCCATGCGGGAGACCCAGGTTCAACTCCCGGCCAATGCACCTTATGTGCGGCTATCACCCGTCTGTCAGTGGAGGCTTGCGTGTTGCCATGATGCTGAACAGGTTTCAGCAGAGCTTCCAGGCTAAGATGGACTAGAAGAAAGGCCTAGCAATCTACTTCCGAAAATCAGCCAACGAAAACACTATGGATCACAATGGTTCAATGCACAACAGATCACGGGGATGGTGTAAGGCCAGGCAGCGTTTCCTTCCATTGTCCATGGGATCACCATGAGTTGGGGGGCCAACTCAATGGCGGCTAACAACAACAACAATTACTTATATAATTATTTTATTTATTAACTGTTTTACATAATTGTTATAATTATTATATTTATAGAGGGCTTTCCAATTAAGCAATTTCACATCCACTATTTTATTTCAGCCTCACAGCAACCCTGTTAGACAAAGGAAAAACTAAGACCCAGAGAGACTACGTGACTGTCCCGAATTCATAGTTAGCAAGGGTGGCTCTTCAGGCAGAGACCATGAGTGTACCTCCCTGACACAGGCGTAACTTACTGGTCACGTAGATTTTAAAAAACAAAGTTGTATGATGAAATGTACGAGGCAGCCCTATCAAAACCAAACCCGTTGCTGTCAAGTCGATTCTGACTCATAGTGACCCTACAGGACAGAGTAGAACTGCCCCACAGGGTTTCCAAGGAGCAGCTGGTGGATCTGAACTCCTGAGATTTTGGTTAGCAGCCACAGCATTCAACCACTGCGTCACTAGGTTCCAAGTGGCGGCTCTATTTACTGCAGTATACAACCCCCAAAAGGAAACCTGAACATCCCTCTACTGACAACATTACACTTCTTTTTTAGGAACCCAGGTTCACATCTTCTATTCTGAGTTCTTCGTTCTGGGCCCGATAGTAGTGGCAGCTCTGCAGTAACAATGGCTTTTGAGAAAAGATGTGTGGGGAAAACAGGATGCTCCATTACTGATGTTTGCACTTGCTCATGTTTGGTATTTCACTGAACGGTTGGTGCTGCAATACACATGCAGCTGATGGAGAAACCTGCCAAATGCAGGCCTGAGGATTTGTGTCATGGAGCACAAGAATGTGGTGCCAGGGCCCCCGACCTCAGGGTAGGCTGCTTATGAGCCGCCTGACTCCCTGGTCAGTACCATCTTGCTTTATCACTCCCACTGTTTCTCTAGCCACATTTTTCTCCCTTATTTCTGTCCAATCTGCCCCTTCGGGGCCAATGTGCTTCCTCTTCCTAGGCATGCAAAAAACCCAGGTTTACTCTGCTTGTGTATTTCTAAGCCTGCATTGCTAATGAATTCTCTGGGCCTGGCTCTGTACAGGGCCAGAGCTGTGGCTGGTCACAGCCTTTCACTGTGCCTGTGTGCACATGTGTACACAGGCCTTTGATAAAGCATCAATTTCCAAAGAATAAGAATGCAGTAAAACACACAAACATTAGAGCGGTATTGAATATAGTTTAATCTTTTTTTCATGATTTAGAAGGCCTGAAGTACTTCGGGGTCAGGATTATAAGCATCACTGATCATTCTACTACAGCTGCACAGCCAGGTTAGTAAATAGAGCACCAGTCAAGAGGATGCCAAGAAAAAAGAATTTATGAGGATCTTAGTCAAGCTGCTTGTGACAGATGGAGGTCCAGGTCAGCATGTTCTGAGGACAGGATGCAGCACTGGAAAATTCAACTTGGGCTGCCTTCATTCCAAATATATTCTTAAATGTCGATAATGCATGAGCCAGTGGGGATGCAGAGACTGTCGCTGCTCTCAAAGAACGCACAGTGGAGATGCGAAGCTGCCCGCACATCCCACACCCCCTCATGCCAGCGGCTCTGTATGGACTGCTTCACAAAGTCAAAAGGACCCAGTGCTTGCCCTCTAGGAACTCAACGTCTGAAAACAAATCTACAGAAACCGATAAGAAGAAAACATTAGGAACAGTATCTGCTTTAAATTCTCTACAGAAGGGCGTGACCTGAGTTGGTGCTCTCTGTTATGGCCAGGTGTTAGTCTCAATAGCTAAAAATAACACGCTTTCTAGGTTTATCTTCCATGTGCCTGCCAGGGGATCCTGCTAAAATGCAAATCTTAAAATTCTGTTGTCTAAAACTCTTCAAAGGCCTCCACTGTCCACACGATAAAGGCCAAGCTCTTGCATGATTTAGCTCCTGCCTATGTCTTCAATTCATCTCTTACCACATCTCCACTCACACTCTGAGGTACAGTCTCCTGTACAAACCATGTGGATGCTTCTGACTCTCCCTCATCTTATTCCCTTCACAATCTTATTGAGATGTCACCACCTTTGTGAAGCCTTCTTTACTCTCCTTCCTATGTACTTCTTCTGACCTTCTACAAAAGAGCATTTGTGCTTGCATCACAGTGGACTGAATCTGTGGCGTCTATTTCTATTACACTAAGTTCCGTGAGGATGGGAGCTGTCTGTTCATTCTTGTATCTCTGAATCCTAATACCCATTACCTGTTGCCATCGAGTCTATTCCGTCTCGTAGAGACCCTAGAGGACAGAGTAGAACTGCCCCACAGGGTTTCCAAGGAGCGGCTGGTAGATTTGAGCTGCCAACCTCTCGGTTAGCAGCTGAGCTCTTAACCACTGCGCCACCAGGGCTCCGAATCCTAACACAGAACCTGAGAAAACAGCTGTGCTCAATTAACATGTGTTGAACTCAAATGAGAAGCGAGGTGATAGATACCAGGGAAGGTTTCAGAGACAATGATGCCTGAGGCTCTTCTAATGTGATACCTGCCACCTGCTGGCCTTCAAACTTGTTCCTGGAAGAGTCCTGATGTAACAACTGGTCATGGGTGATATGATCAAAGAGGTAACTTGAAAACTCAAACATGCAGACCCAAAAGACTAACTTGTCTTGAAGAAGGCATAGTTCTAGAATTTTCTTTGCAATTAACATCCACGGATTACAAAGGACCTCAGGGTTAGCCCTAACAGTGTTCAACTGCGAGGACAGCAAGGATCCTTGGTACTCATATACCACACCTTTCTCAACTGGGTCTTTTTTTTTGTTTATTGTTGTAGTTTAAGTGAAAGTTTACATTTCAAGTTAGTCTCTTATACAAAAATTTATACATACATTGTTACATGACCCTAATTGCTCTCCTATACTGTGACAGCACACCCCTCCTTTCTACCTCTGATTTCCCGTGTCCATTCAACCAGCTCCTAACACTCTCCGCCTTCTCATCTCACCTCCAGACAGAAGCTGCCCATTTAGTCTCATGTATCTACTTGCCAAGAAGCACACTCCTCACAAGTATCATTTTATGCCCCACAGTCCAGTCCAATCTTTGTCTGAAGAGTTGGCCTCGGGAATTGTGTTAGTTCTGGGCTGACAGAGAGTCTGGGGGCCTTGTTCTCTGGGGTTCTTCCAGTCTCAGTCAGACCATTAAGTCTGGTCTTTTTACTAGAATTTGAGTTCTGCACCCTACCTTTCTCCTGCTCCATCAGGGACTCTCTGTTGT